TCTGGAGATAATAAAATTTATATCCCTATTTTAAAAACACTTTAAGAACTCTGTTCTTTAAAATATGACAGACCTAAGTTTCATATACTGAGGTGGCTCAGTATATATAATGCTCTAAGTTTCCAGGATAACAGAATAGAAATTCTGGATAAGGAAAATAAGTCTTACACTATTAATTACTTTCTTAGAACAGTAAGCTGTAAAAATCAGTACATAAACTGATAGATGATAATATACAGGAAATGGAATCTAAGAAATTATGCAGACTACTAGGTTCAATTCTCATATGCCTACTTTTTAGTCATGACAAATAAATAAATTTTATTAATTTCTTTTCATTTCTACAGGCTAGAAGTCATTAAATTAAATGTTTCTGTTAAGTTTGAAACAGGTTCTTACTATGTTACTGTGTAGCGCAGACTGTCCTCCAACTCATATTCCTCCTGCCTCACACCTACCAAGTACAAACTAAACATTTTAAAGAGCACTGAAAATCACTGAATTTTTATAAGGCTCCATAATAAAGTCAATATAATTTACATAGATCACTTTTATATTTTTGTACTCATAATTTACTCAAAAGTAGAATACATTTTAAATCTAAAAAAAAAAAAGATGTAACCACTTCAATGAGTTTACCTCTACTGTAGTTCATGAAACTTAAACTTATTCATTGACAAATATTTGAGTAGGCAAATTAATTTATGTCAAACAAAAACCAAAAAGCTCAAAAATATAAAAGTTATAAACATTTATGATTAATTAATACAGATTTGAAATTAAGTCTTTTCAAGATCAGTGAATTTGGACTGGTTAACCCACCAACTTAGCATCATTGAATGAGAAAACAAAAACAAAATGTAGTATTTTAAAAGAAAAATTATAGCTTCAAAATAAATGTGACTCGTTTCAAATTACACAATTTTTCAAAATGTAAAATAGAAAGGTTAATTACATAGAAAAATAATGCACCCCTTAACTTTCAAAACTAGGATTAAAAAAACCTCTTTAATTAAATACAGACCTAAAATTAATACATGCAGACTTTCACATAAGTAGTTTAGAGATAAGGTGCCTTATTATTGGAAGCTTTCAATCTCCCTTTATTTGTTATTTCTTAGTTCCACAACAAAAAAAGGTAAAGATTTCATGATGTATTATCTATAAAGCAAGGTCATTTTTATCAGTAATTTCTCTGGAAAGGCAAAAATCCCACAAAGCAAAGCAAACTTTGAAGTAAAGAGTGATCACAATATTCTCAAACTAGAAATGTGTGTTATTTTAAGTTTTAAAACAGCAGAATGCCTAATGACTCCAGACAGTGAAGAAAGCAGGGGGCAGAAAATTAAGAGGTGGGTCTACAGAGACGGAATTACTAAGAAAACAGTACACCTTGGCTTCGATTTCTTTATTTGAGTTCTCCACAAGTATAAAGGCAAAGAAAGGGTGCTTGTTCCCAGTGCAGGAACAATAGAAATTTAATAAATGGAAAAACTGATCATGGACTATGGTCCACTAACATGTTCCATAAAAACTCAAAACTGAGTGTGGTGGCTTATACCTGTAATCCCAACTACAAAGTTGGCAGATCAGAAATATAGTGGTTCAAGGCCAGCTCTGGCAGAAAAAAAAAAAGTTAATAAGAATCCATCTCAACTAATAAGGTAGGCATGATGGTGCACATCACACCATGTATGCAGGGGGCGTAAATAAGAAGGATCAAGGTGCAGATCAGCCTAGGCAAAAATGTGAGCCCCTATCCAAAAAAAAAAAGAACTAAAAGCAAAAAGACTGGGGTGTGGCTCAAATGGTAGATCTCCAGCCTGGTAAACAAGAGGCGTGGAGTTCAAACCCCTGTACCACCAGAAAAAGAAAATGAAAAGACATTTAGGAAAAACTACTTCTGCCTCAAATGATTTAAGGAAAACCATAGTCCCAATACTGAGGGTTGGACTCAGGGCTTCATGCTTGCTAGGCAGGTACTCTACTGCGTAAGCCATGCCTCCAAGTCCAACAAATCTTTTAACTATAGCAAGAATATTCCCTTCTAAATAAAGGAGAACAATGGAGGGGATAAATTCAACTATAATATATGGTAAGAACTTTTGTAAATTTAACAATGTACCCCAGTACAATAAAAAAAATAAAAGAATATTCCTTTCTAAAACCAGTCTGAGAAGGGAAAAGCAGGTAGCTATTTTATGCTCCATGAGAGCAGAATCTTTATACTCATGTAATAACGTTTAGCTATCTTTTAGTAAACAATGATTCCTTCTTATTCTCCAAAATCCCATACAAAAGAAAGAAGTTGCACCTATATCACAGATGAAGAAACAAAGGTAGAGAAAAGATTAAATGTTTTATAAAATAGGTTATGACATTACCAAACTGGGAACAAAGTTGAACTTGCTCTTCTATGAATGTGTTACAAAAATATTAATCAATATAAATGAAGTGATTAAATACTAAACTTGGTCTTATCTTTAACGTAATTAGGGTGGAAGGAGAGGACCTTGATTAAAAATACTCAAAACTTCAGGGACTGGAAATTTAGCTCAGTGACAGAGTACTTGCTGAGAACACGATTCTGTGGGTTCTATCCCCAGAACCACCAAAGAGCAAAAAAAAAAAAAAAAAACCCACAATACTTATTCTAGGGATTCCTTATATTCCACTTTTCAACTTTAATAGGCACACTAATTTACACAGGACACATACCATTTACTATGCAACATTAAAGTTTCTAATTAAAAAATTGATCACCAGTAAGATGAGAAGCACCATGGGAAACTGTCAATGTGCTGAGGAGGATAAGAGTGGGGAAAGACAGGAGAAGGCTGTGTTTTTTACAATGTGGTTTAGCTATCTCCAGACTTAACTATTGAGAGAGGTAACGAAATAGGTCTAGTCAAAAAACAAAAACAAAGAAGGAAAGGAGAGGGAGAGAGAAAACTGGTCATGAAGTTTTACATAAGATTCATTCAAAAACAAAACACTGTTATCCTCAGAACAAAAATGGTTAAAAAGCTGAGTCTTCTAAAGATTCTTGTCTGAATATTGAGCTACGAAGATACACAAAGTTGAAGTAACTGGAAACATTTGGTTGCCTGCAGTCTTCAACAAGATCACAAAGTACTCAAAAATTCTTTGACCTGAGAGAAGGAAAAAAAAGTAATATAATTTGACTAATTTGAGACATCTAATATTCATCTTCATTTAAGAGTATATAATGATGGGGAAAGCTATGTAAGCTCTGAAAGAACCTAGCCAATAAAATAATGCCACAAAGCAAAACTCGTAATTCTTTATATATTCTAGACAACATAAAAATTCTCCTGAAAAGACAAAGACTACTGCCTTATAAACAAATCTAAAAAAAAAAAGGAAAGAAAGTCATCCGGCACTGGTGGCTCACGTCTGTAATCCTAGCTAATCAGGAGGCAAAGATCAGGCAGCCAGCCTGGGCAGATAGTTTGTGAGACACTATGTCGAAAAGGCCCATCACAAAACAGGGCCCCGCAGAGTTGGCTTAAGTAGTAGAGCACCTGCCTAGCAAGTCTGAGGCCTTGAGTTCAAACCCCAGAACCACCACCAAAAAAAATAAAATAAAAAGCTAAGTAAAGCATTATCAGTAAAAGTAAAAATAAGTAACGTAAAATGATTCACAGTCAAAACAAAGAACTGTTAGAAAAAATTAAAAAGTGGCTTTACATATTCAATTAAATTAATGGTTAGCTGTTAGTACAATGACTAACAATTTTTTACTTTAATATTACCATATGTGAATACTATCTTATGTATTTAACATCATTAATAGTAAGAAGAGGTCACCTGAATCATCTAAGTATACTTTACTTTTTTATTATCAGGGAAACAACCATATGCTGTAATGTAAAATGTTGAGACAAATTTTCAAGATATATCCCTTACAAATATCAAGTTTCTCTTACAGTAAACACCAGACATTTTGTGATAAGAGGGAAAAAAAACCCAAGTTTCTCTCAAAACTAAACAGCAAATAATTTTAGTTCTTAGATCAGTACCTCGATCACTAAGGTAATTAATGTACATATAAGGCCATTTGTTATACAATTCCCCCTACTGTTGTATCAAATGTTCTTCTACGGATTTTTCTCCCTTTTTTCTGTCCTTTTACCAGTAAGGCACTGCTCACTAAGAATATGTTTAACTCCCAATTCTCTGAGGGTTAAATTAACTTTGATTGAGATAATGACTCAATGATTAGGTAATGTCAAGTCAACCTTGACATAGCCCCAAATAAAACTTAAAATTAAAATCTCTTAATCTCACAAACTTCAGCTAAAAATGGTTAAGATCCATACTCTACAACTTTTAAGTATCTCCCATATTGAATGCAGTTGAAAAAGGATAAATTTTCTGAGTGCCAGTGGCTCAAGCCTGTAATCCTAGCTATTTGGGAAGCTGACAACGAGAGGATCCCAGTTCAGGGCCAGCCCCAGCAAATAGTTCTGGAGACCCCATCCCCAAACTAACCAGAGCAAACTGGAGTAGCAGCACGGCTCAAGTGGTACAGTACCTGCTTTGTAAGCAACAAAACCGTGAGTTCAAACCCCAGTCCCACCTCCCCCACAAAAAAAGATAAATTTAATCTTACAAGTTATTATTTTTTAAAAAAGGATTAAAAAAGAAACACCTATAGGGCCAGGCACGGTGGCACACCCCTGCAATCCCAGCTATGCAGGAGGTGTAGATAGAAAGAGCTTGGCCAGAGGCCAACCTCAGGCAAAAGTGAGATACTGTCTGAAAAATTAAATGGAAAGCATAAAAGCCTGGGCATCATGGCTCAAGTGGTAGAGCACTTGCCTAATAAGAACAAGACCCTGAGTTCAAATCCCAGTTAAATATGTGCTTCTAACTGTCTCTTAATGTGATTTTATATGAACTATTCTGTTAGAAAATTTTCTCAGTTAGTACAGTTTTAGAGGACAAAACAAACACTAGTTCTTGTCTAAACCTACCTTTCCAACCAGACTTTCATGTTTGTCTTTAAAGTCTTCATTAACATCCAATGTTAAGACCGGTACTTCTTGTAGATAATCAAAATTGGTTCTGTTTAAAAAGACACGAAATCAGAAAAACAATAAATAAAAATAAAAAACTAAAAATTCATTCTTGTATCATTAGTAAATCAAAACATCATTAATCATTTTACACTAAAGTCACCCTGAATAATAATACAACTTGTAGCCTGTTCTTTCACATATAGATTTACTACAAGTAAATAAAAAATCTCAGGTACAAAATATTAAAACTAGGGATTATGATATAATTCTCCTCAAAAACAACAAAAAAATATGATAAAGAAGAAATTTTTGCATTTTAAAGATGAGGAGGACTAGGGGTGTAGTTCAGTGGTAGAGTGCTTGCCTAACGTGCAAGTCAGTGGGCTCTATCCCCAGTGTCACCAAAAGGAGAGAGAGAGAGACAGAGACAGAGACAGAGAGACATGGGATGGCAAAATGGCTCAAGTGGTAAATGCCTACCTAATCAGCATGAGGCCCTGAGTTCAAACACCAGTAATGGCAAAAAAAAAAAAAAGAGGGTGAGAGGAAAAAAGATGGCGAGAAATATTAAAACAGAGAAAGCTAGGTGCAAATGGCTCATAGCTATAATGCTAGCTACTTGGAAGACTGAGATAGGAAAGATCTCAGTTCAAGATCAGCCTGAGCAAAAAGTTAAGACACCCCTAACCCCCATCAACCAACAGCTGGGCACAGTGGGATGTGTGTCATCCCAAGCTATTCAGGAGGCTGATTGGGAGGATTGCGGTTCCAGGCCAGCCTGGGCAAAAAAAGTTCACAGGACCCCCACTTCAATACAGAAAAGCTGGGCACAGTGGTATATGCCTATCATCCCAGCTATGGAGAGGTGGAGTGAGAGTGTATTTAGGAGGATCTCAGTAGAAACTGACCTGAATAAAAAGGAGACCCTCTGTTCAAAATAATTAGAGTAAAAACAGCTGACAGAGTGATTCAAGTGGTAGAGCACCTACCTGCCTAGCAAGTTCAAACCCCATTAACACCAAAAAAAAAAAAAAAAATGTTTTAAAAACCTCAAGGAAGTCATTCTGAAGCAGAGGCTATTAGGTTACACACTGTCCAAGAGCTGACTAATGAGAAAGTCTATGTTATTAACTCAACAACTACACTAAACTATATCCTAGATCACGATCTAAAAAACAAATTTGATTGGGCTGGGCATGTTGGCTCACACCTGTAATCCCAGCTACTCAGAAGGTGGAGATCAAGAGTTTGAGGCCAGCCTGTGCAGAAAAGCAAGCAAGACCCATCTCAACTAATAAGCTGGACATGGTGGCATGTAACCATAATCCCAGCTAACTGGGAGGAACAGGTAGGAGGATCACAGTCTGAGACCAGCCCCACGCAAAAATACAAGACCCTATCTGGAAAAATAACTTAAGCAAAAAGGGCTGGGAACATGGATCAAGTGATTAGTTCAAACCCTAATTTTACTCCCCTCTCCCCAAAAATTTTTGACATATAATAATCCCCCTTATCCATGAAGGACTTCCAGTAAATGCATGAAATCGTAGATGTAGCAAACTCTATAGATATTGTTTTTTCCTATATGTACATATACAAATTTAATGCCTTTTCCATCTTAAAAGTGCATTTTTTCCTTTCCTTATTAAACTGAAATTTTTCACTTAAATGAAGCATTTAATGGCTCTTTGGCATATCGAATCTGCCAGCATCATTCACCTCTCTTGCACTTTGGGGTCATTATTCAGTAAAATAAGGGTTGCACTACAATACTGTGACAGTTAATCTGATAACAGAAACAGCTACTATATATGATTATCAGGCATGTAATGTAGTGTATATAGCATGGACATCACAAAAAAGGAGTGATTCACATCCTGGACTGTACTTGGCAGAATGGGATGGACCAGGTTAGCACAAGATTTCATCATGTTAGTCAGAATGTTGGGAATTTTTTATTTATTTTGCAACAGGTTCTCGCTATGTTATCCACATAGCTAGGACTACAGGTGCACCAGGCATATTGAACAATTAAAATTTTATGAAATGTTTATTTCTAAAATTTCACATTTAGTTTTTTCAGACTAACGGAAAGTGAAACTGCAGGTGGGAGACTACATTATCATAAAATTATTTCTGAAATAGAGTAATGTACACAAGATAAAGATAAATGTGAATGTTATGCTGTCAATACCATTGGAAATAATGAGTTATAAAAATTTCAAGAGAATGGAATCTCACGGCATCAAGAATTAAAATCCACACCTAACTCTGGGAGAAACCAATAAATAAGTATCTAAATGCAAATATTTACATATTGCTACTCACACTTCCCAAATCTCAGGTTAAATTTTGGTAAAGATAATGAAAATGAATAGCAACCAAGAATAAGAAAGTCTTACTTCAGAGTTCTATGCAGGAGCCAGCTTTCATGTTTATAGTGAAGTTTCTCTAAATATTCAAGAGGAATCCCTTGCTCTTCATTTCTTCCTCGTAAATATATTCTACTTAGGCATTTCTTAAAGCAAGCAGTAAGAAAAAAAGACAAGAAATTCTTTTTAAATTTTTTTTTCATTTTTCTTAGCATATATTCATTGTACAGGGGAGATTTGTTGTGCCAATCCAAATAGTCTTACGTTGTACATTGGTTAGGTCACCCCCACCATCTCTCTCCACTCCCAGCAACCCCCTCCCCTGCGCCACTTAAAGCAACTGCAAGAGGTTTCATTGTTCTATTTCATATATGTATATGAAGCCCATCAACCACAGTCCCTCCCCCTTCCCCTTCCCGTAAATACTCCCCCCCACTATACCTATTTTACAGTCCTGTCTTTCATTTTTAATTACAAAGTCAATGTTCATAAGGGGTTCTCAATGTATCCCCACTGTGAGTATAGTTTACTTTAGTCAGTTCAACCCCTTCTGTTATTCTTCCTTACCCCTTCCCTTCCCTCCCTATTATTCAACAGCTTTCTTTTTTTTTTTTTTCTTTTATTCATAGGTGCATACAATGTTTGGGTCATTTCTCCCCCCTTCCCCCCTTCCCCTCCCTTTCCCCAGCCCCCTCACTTACCACTCACTACCAGGCAGAAACTATTCTGCCCTCATCTCTAATTTTGTTGAAGAGAGAGTATAAGAAATAATAGGAAGGACCAAGGGTTTTTGCTAGTTGAGATAAGGATAGCTATACAGGGAGTTGACTTGCATTGATTTCCTGTGCATGTGTGTTACCTACTAAGTTAATTCTTCTTGAACTAACCTTTCTCTAGTTCCTGGTCCCCTTCTCCTATTGGCCTCAGTTGCTTTAAAGTATCTGCTTTAGTTTCTTTGCAGTGAGGGCAACAAATGCTAACTAGTTTTTTAGGTGTCTTACCTATCCTTGTACTTTCCTTGTGCGTTCTTGCTTTATCATGTGATCAAAGTCCAATCTCCTTGTTGTGTTTGCCCTTAATCTAATGTCCGCATATGAGGGAGAACATATGATTTTTGGTCTTTTGGGCCAGGCTAACTTCACTCAGAATGATGTTCTCCAGTTCCCATTTACTTGCAAATGATAACATTTCATTCTTTTTCATGGCTGCATAAAATTCCATTGTGTATAAATACCACATTTTCTTGATCCACTTGTCAGTAGTGGGGCATCTTGGCTGTTTCCATAACTTGGCTATTGTGAATATTGCTGCAATAAACATGGGTGTGCAGGTGCCTCTGGAGTAAACTATGTCACATTCTTTTGGGTATATCCCCAAGGGTGGTACTGCTGGATCATATGGCAGATCTATGATTAGATTTTTAAGAAGCCTCCAAATTTTTTTCCAGAGTGTATTCAACAGCTTTCAATACCTATCATTATGTCCTCTACCTGCAGACATAATGTATTTCAATATTGCTGACTTTCTATCATGCTTTTTTCCTTTCCCTCCTTCCCCAAGTTCCACAGAGTAGTTCCACTGTTACAAACATGTTTTACATGTAAGTTTGTATATGATCATATTTGTTTTTGTATACACACTTATCTTTTGGATCTATGTTCCACATAAGAGAGAAAACATTTGATCTTTGTCTTTCTGAACCTAGGGTATTTCACTTAACATGATGCCCTCCAATTCTATCAATTTACCTTCAAACCACCACTTAAGTTTCTTTTTTTTTTTTTGCAATACTAGAGCTTGAACTCAGGCCTCATGCATGCTAGGCAGGCACTCTACCACTTGAGCATTCCACCAACCCTCATTCTTCCTTATGACCGAATAAAGTTCCATTGGAGAGAGAGAGAGAGAGAGAGAGAGAGAGAGAGAGAGAGTGTGTGTGTGTGTGTGTGTGTGTGTGTGTGTGTGTGTGTATCAACATAAGAAATTGTTTTTATCTGCCATTAAAATTTTATTTTCTTTTCTAGTTATAATAGTCAAAATCTCTAGTCCTTCTAGAGAGTTGAAATAGTTCATTTGTTCCCTCTGTGCTTTTTTGGCCATTTGGTGTCTCTAAACTAAGCAGTACTTTCCAAAGTAAGTAAAAATAACTCTCGATTTTCAGTATCCACACATAAAATACAACTAATGTAAGTTTAGTTAAAAAAAAGTGGAGGGGATTCATTAAACACCTACTTAAAATTTTTAGAGGACAGCTAAAAGTATGCCAATAGATCAATCTTATGTGGTTAACCAAACTTGACTATGAAATGTCTGTGTTCGGTTCATTTAAAAACATTATGCTTTGAAGTCTATTACAAATTCTCTTTTCAATAATGAAATAATCCTTTAATCAAAAGACAACAATATTGATAAAATAACAGTTCTGTTTAGTTTTGAGACAGGGTCTTCCTGTGTAGCCCAGGCTGACTTGGAAATCACTACCCTGCCTCAGCTTCCCAAGTGCTGGGATTATAGGCATGTAACATCATGCCTGGCTTTGTGTTAGTCTTTGAGGTACTGACTATGAATGTTTCTAGCAGAATGAAATCATTAGTATTCTTTATGTTCTTTTTTAACATTTACATTTATTATTTTTTGTAATCAAAACAAGCAAATTTTTAAGCATAAAAGTGAACCTCAAAATTATTGCAACTGCTAAACCTTGGCTTACTTGACATTAGAAGAGGAACAAAATCATCCATTAAAAATCAGAAACCTGGTTTCTTTGAAAATTCTGCTTCAACAGCAATATAATACTCAAAATAATTTCAGGCAAAAGTTATGACAATTATATTCACAGTCTACCTTATGGCTTTCCAAAATAATAGAAATTAAAAAAGAAAAAGAAACAAACAATTGGAATGCATCAGAGCCAGAAAGCTTCCTACTAACTATAAAATCTTGCTATTTTGATTTGGTTTTTGGTTTTTTGTTCTGGTGGGACTGGGGTTTGAACTCAGGACTCTATAGCTTGTGCCATATCGTCAATTCATTTTTGCTCTGGTTATTTTGAAGATGGACTCTCATAAATTATTTGCTTGGGGCTGGCCTTGAACCTCGATCTTCCTGATCTCAGTCTCCCAAATAGATAGGATTATAGCATGAGTCACCAGTGCCCAGCTTACGTTAGTTTTATAAAAGGCATCCACTTAATTGTCCTGGGTACGTTACAAAATATAATATGAAAACAGGACTATTATAACTCATCATAAGGATGAGTTATTATATTATAACTCATCATCAGGAGCTCCCTAACTGATAATAGCAAGATCCTTTTAAGTCTCTTTCCAAGTGTAGCCACCACTACACATTCATTCCAACTCACCAACAGCCATAGAAGAAGATGCCATTTATTGAGCAAATATTTATTGAGCTCCTAAATGTACCTTGACTGTGTTCTAGGTACTGGAAATTCAACAATAATTAAAATATCCAAAATCCCACCTCATTAAACCTGTACTTTTGAAGTTATTGGAGCAAGTCCCTTTACTCTAACTCTGGTTGGTAGAAAGAACCTGTAAGCATTAGGAAAAAAATGAAAATGAAAAACAGAACTGAGGAAGAACAGAGAGAGAACTAAAAGAGCAACTAAACAGATTATAGCCACATTTAGGCTTCTAGTTTGCTAAGAAAATAGAAAGCTTCTATCTATACTGTTATGAATTTTGAGCTGGAGGAATGAACTTAAATTATATTACATCTCTCTGAAAAGATTTCTAAATACTACTTAAATTTGCAATGGAGCAAGCAAATTTTCATTGGGTCTCACCTCTGGAGAAGCTCGAAGATAAATGATTCCATCTAATTCAAGGCTTTGGCCAAATTGATTATTCATCCAGTCATGCCAGTCTTGATATACTGTCCACTCTGTTTCATTCATGCAGTCAGATTCATACAAATTAGATGCAAAAATATACCTGTAAAAGAGTCCTCATCAACACATTATGTCATTTCAATTAAAAAACTACAATGAAATGTGCACTAGAGGCTCATGTCTGTAATCCTAGCTACTTTGGAGGCTGAGATTAGGAGGGATGTGGTTCAAGGTCAGCCCAGGCACAGTTCATGACAACCCACTGCAAAATAACCAGAACAATATGGATTGGAGGCATGGCTCAATCACTAGAGCACCTGCTTTGCAAGCGCAAAGACCTGAGTTCAAACTCCATTCCACAAAACACATTAAAAAAAAAAGACAAAAAAATAGGAAAGGAGAATTGATCTATTAAATAGACATGAAACAGTTTCCTAAATCCTGTGGCAGATACTGCCTCAGACAGCAGATTTAAAAAACAGGAGTTTCCAATGAAAGGAAATAGGTTCTTGGCCATTGGTTCTCAAAATATTGTGAATTCCCTGAGATCCTTCCAGAAGTTCTGTGAGAAGCCAGATTACCTGATACACTATTACATTTAAACCAAAGAACATATCATAACTGATTGAATATGGAAGCATAAATGAAAATCTAGCTATCTTCTACTAAGTCAGACATTAAAGAACTCTGCCACAATGAAAAGCAGTGTTACTCTTCTCTAATTTTTGTTTTGAAAAAATGTTAACTTTTTATCAAAAGTATGTTCTCTGTTAATATGAAATGGGTTAAGTCAATTTTTTATATTTCTAAATCTTAACTTCTGGGAACATAATCTTCAACAATGGAAAAGGGTCCTGAGACCAAAAAGTTTGAAAACCTCTATTCTGAGATAACTTTGGAGGTCAAAAGAATCCTGGCACAAAAAGGGCAATTCTAAGACACCACAGAAATTATTAATTTTTATCTCTTTCTCCAGATGAGAGACTAGAATATAGACCCAGCTTTAACTACAGCAGATGAGAAATTTTAAAAGGGTTAAAAGGAGAAAAAATAAAGCTTTTCTGCAAATTTGAATTATATGGCCACCTTATTCTCTATGGTTTCCATGGGAACTAGAGATTATAAACGTTAGAACTTCCCACTGCCATTAGTACCAGAATGCTGAGGGTATTAAACGTCATTTTCTATCACACACCTCCAACTCAGTCTCTAATTTGATTACCAGCAAACTGGGGGGAAAAAAGTCTAGTTGTAAGCCAAGACTCCAAACAGCCAAGTACAAGCCATTTATATACCTGTCACTATACACAGATCGTTCAAAAAATAACACAGGTTCCTCTGCATCTTTGAGCTTGCCATTGAGAGAGGCAAGCTGAGCTCGTATCCGACTGAGACAGGCATATGATTGGAAGGTAAAAGACCATCGTTCGGGTTTCTCATACATCATTTGAAGAACATTCCCACCACTTTTCTGGGACGTTGTCAGTTCCTATTTTGAAATTGCAAAAAGAAAAAAAAAACGAAGCTAATTATCAGTAGGGCTATTTAAACTTTTTAAAGGCTTAAAAGAGAAATTATATAAATAAATGCATCAATATTAGCAAAACCAAGATAATTAAGTCCCCTTCCTCCTACTCTTTCCCATGATATATTTTCAGTTACCTGAGGTCTAAAAGAATCTTCTGACCTTTCTCACAAGAGGTCACAAATAACCTATGAAAGAAATTATCAGTTTATCCAAAAACGGGACTTTTTAAAAACCTGAATTGTCAATATTTAAAAGTTAAATAAATATTTGCATATTTTCTTTATAAAAGATTTTTTTTAAATAGTAATACTGTGCTATTATTTCCTCTTGAAAAAAATCAGTAATAGCCACATCACACATGCCTCCAACAGGTGGGATATAATATGTAGCACACTATTCCTTGATGACTCTCTAACAGACCTGATTTAAAGATGCTCCTTGATTTCAATGGGGTTGTGTCCTGGTAGGTCAATCCTAAATTGAAAATGCACCAAAGACACCTAACCTACCAAACATCATAGCTTAGCAACACAGTACACTGTAGACGATGAGTTGTATAGCCTCATAATCATGGCTGGCCAGGAGCTGTGGCTCACTGCTGCAGCACAAAACAGCATTGCAGGAAAATATTAAAAATAAAAAATCAAAGTACGTTTTCTACTGAATATGCATTATTTTCATAACATCACGAAGTTGGAAATTATAAATTGAATCATCATAAATTGGGGTAAGTAGAGGATGACTGTATTTATGTAGCTGGCTGGCCCCTTTAAGCATTTGAGTTTGTAAAACTCATCTTTTAATACGACAGAATAGATTCTCAAAACTTTATAATTCAATACTGTTGAGAAAAATGCAATTGTAAAAAAAATTAGGTAGAAATTCTGTAACCGTACATCTAAATTGGAAATAGCAGCTAGAACTCATGAATTATTTTTCTTTCTATAAAATAGTTTTCATAGCTCTCTCCACCAAAAGGCCTATAAAAAATGACAAGCCTGTAGGAAGAAGCATAAAAACCACCAAGATTCAGATCTCCACAATTTCTCGCTGAAAGATTCTGTGCCAGATTACAAGTCTGGAAAAGGAAATGTTCAAAATGAGTTCCAATAAACTACCCAAGGACTGGGTAAAGAGCAAAGGAGCCAACAAAAAGCAGTTTCCTCTGGTCAAATATAGGACAGTTTGAATATCCAAAACAAATGGAAGGTTAAAAATCCATGAGTTCATTGCATTTTAAAAACACCTAGTCATCATCTTTGGAAATTGCTATGGCATCAATGAATCATTATGGAAATTTGTAGATAAGAAGAAAAAATATGCATCAAGCATTTTATTCTAGCCTTTTCTTTAGAAATGCTTTGTAAGTAATGATGTAGTAGTGGAGAAAAAAATGTCTTTTTTTTTTTTTTTTTTTTTTTACTGAACTCCTGCTAATAAATTTAGAATACTTGAGAGAAATATCTTTTATAATAGCAAATGATGTATTAGAGTCAAGCAACAATTAGCAATAGATGCTAAAAACCACTAGAGAAAAATGATAGGGAATTTTTTTTCTTTCTCCCCTTTTTCTTTTTGAGACAATTGCCCAGGCTGGCCTTGAAATCTTAGGCTCAGGCAAGCCTCCAGCATCAGCTTCCCAAGGATGAATTAGGCTCATACCTTAAAGGACTGATGTTAAAATTCAACACCACAAAGGACATCCCTCTGATGTAATGGCAAACAAAAATACACATCACAACAAAGAAATCTTGCCAAAAAGGATGAGAACAAATCTAATCAAACCTATAAATTTACAGGAAATTCAGAGAAGTGAGAAACATGTTAAATTTTACCACCAAAGATATACTCAGCCAAAACCAAAGTGAGGCAAATTATATAGAACAAATGGCCCAATTTCTTCAACAATAAGTAGGAAAGAAAAAAAAAAAAGGAGGCATCCAATAGATTAAAGTTTAAAAGATCAAAATGCAATGTGTGAACCTTGCTTGGCTCCTGATTTCAAGTACTGCAATATACTCTTTGAGACAATGGGGGCAAAAACCTGACTAGATATGATGATATGGAACTGAAGACTCTGGGGAAGTGCATCTATATTAAAGATCCTGCAGGCTGCTTGACCTTGGTTGGCTGCAAACACTGTGGCTGGAGAGATGGAATGTTGTAGGTCTAGAGCCAAAATTATCTTGGGTTATCTTAGTCCCTTTGTTAGCCATTTATTTTCCTTTTCCCCACTGATAGTTTTCATTGAGTGTTTCAGCAGGTGTATAGGTTAGAGGGTTGGCTGGGAGACGATCTGCTCCCCAGGGTGGTGTTGGAAGCTCAAATTAGAAACTGCTCATTAGTTTCTGGTTGTAAAATTACACTGGGGAGATGAGTTGTAATTAATAAACAGTTACTTATAGAGTAAGCATGTAAGAGGTAGTGTGAAGGGGGAGAAATGACCCAAACATTGTATGCACATATGAATAAAATAAAATAAATTAAATTTAAAAAAAAAAACAGCCTTTAAAAAAAAAAAGAGGTAGTTGAAGATCAAGATTACTAATCTCTGATACTTTGAATTATAGTATTTAGACAAAACTTTCTCTGATGAAAACCTGACTTTTCCTATGGTCCACGGCAAGGAAATATGTTTCTACCTGTAAATTGACCCTGACTTTTGATGTCCTTGCTCTACTCTACCATGGTTGAGAAACATCTCATTGGGTTAATGGAAGAGAGAGAAACATAGTCTGGAGATAGAAACAGTACTCCAGAGACAAGCACTAAATGAGACATATTTCTTTTAAGTAATACTTGGAAAGAAACCAAAGGAAAACAGTAGCTTGGTAAATTGTTTCCTTTGAGACAGTCTCTTGCCTTCATCCATGAAGGGGTGGTTATGCTTCAGAGACTGTAGATTTGCTTTTCCATTTGCAATTTCATCTTTTCTCTTGGAAATACATCCCTCTCCCAGAGAGATGCAGCAAGCAATTTCCAGAATGGGCATTACGTAGGTCAGACAGCCTGGAAACTGAAGTTATATGTAATGAGATCTCTTCTGAGTCCCTGCTGCAGGAGGGCATTACTTGCAGCTCCTTAGCATTTGCCGTGGAGTGACTAGGCTGTTTCTCTTCTCAAGTAACCTGTGCCAACACAAGGAATCCAGCCAGCTGCTGTTGCTACCCAGAGACAGTATATATGGAGGACCATGTACTTCAGTTTCAGAGGTATCATCAGTCCTTCAGGACAGGAAGGAATGGTGGAGCAGCAAAGTTCACAAAAGAATTCAGCTTCATAACTAAATTATAATTATTTGAAATAAACCTACAAAATAAAAGTTGATAATCATGTGTGTGGTAAGTTTAAAGATCATCTTTGCCAGAGAAGGAGAGGGGGCTTAGAGAGCAAACTACATAATCTTTCAAAGTAGTTTGCCTCTTATTTTGCCAAAATTGGTGGTAACCTATCCCTAGCATAGCAACATTTCATCCACTAGGTGGCAAGTGAAAAAATAAACAGCTAAAACAAAACAAAATAGTCTAAGCATGCAGGTGCACATTTGGTTACTAAAAGATATATAAGAGGTACGAATAGCCCAACTCTTCTATTCTACAACTGCCAAGAAGTATAACCAAATGGACAACATCCAAAGTAGAACTGAAAGTAGACCTGAAAACGATCTACTTCTCACTATAAGACAGTATTCTAAGAAAGCTAAGATTTGGAGAGTGGGTGATTCACATTATAACCTCAAGGAATGAACTCAGAGAAGAGCTCCAAGGTAAATGAATCCCCTCTTTTTTTTTGTTCTGGTGGCACTAGGGATGAAACCCAGGGCCTTACATTTGCTAGAGCTATATCCCCAGTCCTTGAAATTCTACTTCTTTAAAAAAAAAAAAAAAAATCCTCACTTTTTGAGTTTAGTGGAGATCCAAGAAAAACAAAACAAACAAAGATACAGGCAAGCCACCCACCTAATCCCTCATATTCTACAACCTTACCCCCCAAATGTTCTTTCCATATTGTCTGAAACTGCCTGGAAGACAGGAGACTGCAGCTCCCAAAACACAAAAAATATTAAAGCTATCTTCCAAGAATATGCATTAAATTTCAACAAAGGTAATTAAATTATAACATCATAAAGACATGACTAGATTAAAGTGAACTGTATGATGAAAGAATGTGTTACTTATAATAATAATATCATCTTATGCTAATTATATAAAAACCATGTTGGCATTCTGACTCTATACCTATATGTCCCAGCTCACAAACATGAGTTATCAGATTCATGAAGCTGTAAAATTTTTAAATGAAGACAAATGTATCAATGTCCAATGACATCAGTCATTATTATAATCTTACTAATCCCTCTAGACCCTAATTGTAAGATTAACAGAAAGCGTTCTGGTTACTAGCTGTCTTCCAAAGTATTATTAATACAAAGTTTTTCAACCTCTCTTCTAATACTCCCAACACTAATGGTGATTTATTAGCCCTTAGTTCTAGCTACTCTGAGGACTAGGGTTTACTTAACTGGGCCCCAGGCCTAAAGCTAACTATGCTTGGCAAATAGGAGGTGTGTAAGAAAATAGTTTTAGTTATTCAAAATTATATAACCAGGGTGGCAGTGTGGCTCCAGTGATAAGAGTGCTTGTCTAGCAAGTGCAAGGCCCTGAATTCAATCCACAATACCACAAAAGTAAATACATAAATAAATACCCTATATCCTCAAAGTCTACAGAGTATCTTGTTATTTCTGTATTCCCAAAAATTCTCACATCAGTAGCTATACTTTTAAAAAATAGATTTTTTTTAATCTTCTGTCCTCCTGAGGAAACAAAGTAGTTTCTAAGACAAATTTTCATTTTTAAAGATTTCTTCTTTACTTCTTTCAATTCTCACTTCTTTAGAAATGAAAATCCTAGCAATCACTCCCAAATCACAACCAAAAATTCTGCTATAAAAAAGTGAAATTTACCTCTTTTATTCCCTTATTTGTAATACAGTATGGACAGCATGGGAAAATGAAACTTGTATCTAGAGTGAAAGATGGAATAGCACAAAGAAATGAAAGATAAATGGTTTTCTCTATGACAAAAGGCTAGAAAGATTAACTAGTAAAATTCAGTTATTGGTGCCTATCTAGCAAGTGTGAAAATGTGAGGCCGTGAGTTCAAACCCAAATACAGCAAAAAAAAAAAAAAAAAAAAAAAAACCTTCAGTTATTGGGTAGGTTTTTTTTTTTTTTTTTTGGAGGGGGGGTGTGCTTGTTTTTTTGTTTGCTCATTTTCAAACAAAATATAAAAAGCAACTCAAGAAATTTAATCCACAATTAGATTTTTAAAACTTGCTAATTCTTTAAATTTTTTAAAAACCCTTTTACCTTTACTTAAATACAACTGTGCATAAATCTTACATGCATAGCTCAAACATTTTTAACACCTACATAACTACCACCCAGATGAAGATATGAACTTTTTTTTTTTGTGGTGCTGGGGAAAGAACCCAGGTCCTTGCACATGTTAGGCAAGTGTTCTACCACTGAGCTACATCCCCAGCCCACTTAAAGCTAGATTTAAAAGTTTTATCAGAAAAGAAAAAAAAAGGGTGGTCAAGTGGCTCAAGTGATAAGAGTGCCTGCCTAGCAAATGTGAAACCTGAGTTCAGACACCAATACCACAAAAAAAAATAAATAAACAAAATAAAAAATAGAAAAGAAAAAGAAAAAAAAAGCCAAGAGACTAAACATACTGCTTCTCTAACTCAAAATGCTTTATTTTATTCATTTAAATTTTATTTCCATACCTCAAATTCATCTTGTGTACTCTGAACATTGCACCATCTGGCAACAGGTTCAGGAACCACTTTCCAATCCTCACAGCCTTTTTTAAGGATGTTCACAAATGTTGACTTTCCTGCAGCTGTTGTAAAAGGAACAGTAAAACTGAAGAAGGATGCTCGTCAGAAAATAACGTCAAGTAGCCCATCAGCCTTTACAAGATTTATAACAGTCAGCAATGTCAGAGATAAAGAAGCCCCAGTTTCAATTTCCTAAACTTTCTCTTCACATTTTTTTTAAAAATGAAAACTGAAAGGATCCCTGTCCACTTCTGTTGAGCACATTTGTTTGTTATTTTTAGCTTGACAAAACCATGGAACAGAGGTATTAAAAACGTCATGAAATTTTAGACAACATGTTACGACAGGGAAAAAAAAATCCTATTCCTAGATTCACTTTCCTTATGCAATTAGAGAGAGAAGCTTCTGGGAAGCTATTGAGGCTATTTCCCCTCTGAACTAGTTGTGAAACTTTGAGCAAGTCCCTGACCCTCTCTGAGCCCGTTTCCTCATAATTCAAGGAAGATAATAGTACTCTCCTCATGAAAAGTGTCGTGATAACCAATAAATTCATTTCAGTCACTCCAAACTCTTGCATTTTCAAAATTTTCCTCTCATCTAAGTCTATGATCTCAGATGACAAAGAAGCTCAGTTCTTTTCTACCTAAAAATCAACTGAGAAGCAGAGTATGGTAGTACATCCCTGCGATCCCAGCACGTGGAAGGCTGAGGCAGCCTGAGCCACATAGTGAGACTCTGTCTCAACCAAAAGAATGGCCAGGTATGACTGTGCATGAGTGTAATCCCAGCTACTCAGGAGGTGGAGGTCTACAGGATCAAAATTCCAGGTCAGTCAGTCAAAAAGTTAGTGGGATTCCATCTCAACCAATAAACTGGGCATGGTGGTACACGCCTGTCACCCCAGCTAAGTCGGAGGCATAAACAGGAGGATGGAGATCCAGGCTGACCCAGGCAAAAGTATCAGTCACTATCCCAAAACTAACCAAGCAAAAAAGGGATACAGGGCATTACTTAAATGGCAGATCTCCTGCCTAGGAAGTGCGAGGTCGTGCACTCAGATCCCAGTACTGCCAAGAAAAAAAATAACAATAATAATAAATAAGACCAATTAAAAAATAAACAACCACAAAATCAACAAAGACAAATCCAATGCTTAATTTCAGAATAGGAAATAATATGATTATTACTGTCTGCCACTAATAAGCACTATGGCTAACAGAAATCATAAAACATTTTGCAAACCACTTCCTACAAGCAATAGCCATGCACTCTCCCCTTCATATTCATAGTACTGTGCATTCTACCAGACCCTTTAAAAAAATGTACTTTACTTTTCCCTGGTCATTCATTAGTTTCTGAGATATTTGGCAGGGAGGGGGAAAGAAATAGTTCATGTGTAATCAGGACATACTATGTTCACTATTTAATAATTACCCAGGAATATATTACATCTAACAGTAGGGGCAGTCTTTACCTAGCATCTAATAAGGTGTAGCAATACTGCTAATGATCACCACACCCTTTCTATCTGAAGTCACCAAATGTTACATTGGCATCACTGTTCAGCATGATGTTCATATTCTCTCCCCTCTCCACAGATGAACATAAAATAACTTCGAAATATATGCAAGCAAAGCTTCCTCTTCCTTATAAAATGGACCTAAGAAGAACTTGCAGAACTACAGTCAAACTTTCACATTATATAGGGCAAGAGAAAATTAAAAAATGGAACAGCTTTAAAGGATCACACAGAGCAAAAGGAAGGGGGGGGGTTAATAAAAAGGTGACACAGAAAGAACAGCAGAGAAACAAAACACAAAAGCTGTGTTATCTTAAGAAAAGAGGAGGAAAATTTTTAAGGATAAACTGGGTGACTATAAGATTTAGTTGTAGGGGAAAATACTGGTGACCAAAATTTTGTCCAAAGAACAAGCTTAGATACTAGACCATCAGGCATTTAGAAGCATGGTTTAAAATGATCACCAAACATTCAATGACCTACAAGGAAGACAGAAAAGAGAACATGATGTTCACAAAATTAGGACACCAGCTAGAGTTGGAAGTACTTCAGGCTAGCACATTAAGCCTTCTTCTGATACTGTGTATAAGTAGAAAAAAGCTCAGATGGTCCTATTTTAATTTTTTGAGTAATAGCTACATATAGTTCAAGTAGAGTAACAATCGTTGTAGTTCCCAATTGGACTAATATCTAGCTCAACTGTTGAGGAGTAAGTGAAAGCTAGAAAATAAGCCAACTGACAAGTTAGTGTTCTATGAAGGTGAAAGAGAACAAGAACCACAGATACTCTTAAAAGTCCTGGGAACTAAGCTGGGTACCACTGGTACATGCCTTTAATCCTAGCAGTCTCAGGAAACAGAGATCAGGAGGATCGAGGTTCAAAGCCAGCCAAGGCAAGTAGTTCACAAGACCCCAGTCTTGAAAATACACAACACAAAAAACAGCTGGCAGAGTGCCTCAAGTGGTAGAGCGCTTGCGTAGCAAGTGTGAAGCCTTGAGTTCAAACCCAAATACTGCCAGAATAAATAAATAAATAAATGAAAAAGTTCTGGGAACTAAGAATTCCTAGTGCCACAGGCATCATGATACTAAAAAGTCATTCTGAGCAGTCTCTATACAAATCTAACGTAAGGAGTTACTTTAGTAACATGATACATGAGTATAAAATTAAAGTTCTACAAAGAATAAAGGAATTGCAAAACAGTCTTCTACATAAATTAACAATTTGTACATTGATAGTTTAGTTGTACCTGGCAAATAAGGTGGAGAGGACATGAACAACCATGAAACAATAATAAATAGTATCTACCAAAGCCTGTGTGAGGAAGACAATACATGGTGAGGAACACCATCTAGACTTTTCATGAGAAGCCAAAAATCTGTATGTTTATGGGAAATCCCCAAAAATTTAAATACTAGTAACTAATTTTTTTCCTCTAAATCTGTGCATGCCAATAGTGTGCAGGTCATCGGTTTTGTAGCTCCTTTCAGTACAGGGAAGTCAGTGAGGAACTTAAGAGATAACCAACTGTATTTGCATGTACAAAGACCGCTCTGGAGTAGTTACGAGAAACTGAAATCTAACTAGACTTGAGAAAAGAAAAAGAAATCCTTTGTAGTATTTGATCCGAGGGGTTGTCCATTCAAATTTACTTCTTTTTAAACTTCTTTCTCCTATGTTTACATATGGTCTTCTATCTACTAAGAGACTGTGAGGAAACATTCATTCTCAAAGAACTAAGAGGAAATTAGCTGCCTTGATTAATGGGAGAAATAAAATAAGCCCTCTGAGGGTGTGTTCAGCTTTGTTCCATTCTTTTGAGCACTTAAATCATCTGCTTCTCTTGCCTCTTTGTTTTTGTTTTTTCGGTATTGGAGTCTGAACTCAGGGCCTCACACATGCTAGGCAGGCACTCTACCACTTGCCTTGTCTTTTTTAAAATGAATGTGTTTAAAAATTAAAACATTTGCTATATGCATGAATGGCCAGTACTCAACCTGCAGCCCACAAAACAAAGTCTATCAAAACAGGAAGTGACAGTAGTAGGTTTCCTGTGTTAGGAAATACAAAACTGGAAATTCATGTGACCTTGAAAAATGGTATGCATGATGTAGTTTTACAACCAATTACGGTTAATGACAGAAATACCAGTGGTCTTTGACTCATAACCCAGTGTTTACTTGAATGTAATACAGCTCCATGCTATTAAGATTTCTAAAAACCTCTTTTCTTGTACTCAAATGGTAACACTATTCTTTTTGTTGTTTTTTCTTTTTTGGTTCTTTTTAACAGTATTCTCAACAATTGCTTAAAACTAGAAACAACCCAAATATCCGTAACTGGGAAACAGATAAATTATGGTATATTCATGCAATGGAATACACCCCAGCAATAACTGTATTACAATTCGTATTACAGAAGTAAGTAATATGAATGAATCTCAAAAGCATTGTGCTCAGTGAGAGAAACAAGACACAAAAAGCTACGCTACGATTCTATTCACATGACATTCTGGAAAAGGCAAAGCTTTCAGGGATAAAAGAAAACCCGGGTCAGTGGCTGCCAGGGGACAGGAAGGGGAAGGCTGACTACAAAGATGCACAAAGGAACTTTGGGGGTCATGGAGAAGAGCTCTAGCTTCATGTGGTGAGCCAGCATGTCTGTACAACCTCACTGAAGAGTACACCCAAAAAGGCTAAATTTCACTTACCTAAATTACGTCTCAAGAAAGCTGGCATTCCCACATACACATAACCTCACTACAATAAAAACGCTTCGTTTCTCAATTCCCAACAAAAGGGGTGCGATGGCCACGCGCGGCTCCCCGGCCCCAACCTGGCGCCCCGCACCCAACGCGGGGAGGGCGGGGAGGCTGCGGGGAAAGCTCGGGGTGAGCTCGGCTGTGGACCCAGCGTGTACCCCCGGGGCTCCTTACCGATGTTCCCCTCGATGGAGACTTTCTTGATGCGGGTCCCCTCCGAGCTGGTCGCGGGAGACGGGCAGATTCTCTTGGGCGGGGTGGCCATTCCTCGTCCCACGTCGCGCCGCGCGGGCTGGGAGCAGAGCACAGGCGCGCGCGGACTCGCGCCGCGGAACTCGCCCGGACCTGCCCCTCGGAAGCTCGCGCGCCGGCGGGACCCGAGGTTTAACTTTGGCGCGCAGAGGCCGCGGCCGACGGAGGCGGCACTGCGGCGCGGCCCTGCCCAACCCCACAGTGACCCGCCCCGGCCCTCGGCCCTCCCGCCTCCCTCGCAGCCCCCTGCGGGAGACACGTCGCGTCACGCGGGCCGGGGGCGGGGCCTGCGCCGGCGAGGGAGGTTCCGGAAGCTGGTGACCACCGAGGGCGACGCGGAGGGCGGAGGTCCACGAAGGGCAGGGGTGGGGGCCGGGCTTTGCAGAGCTCGTTTCTCCCGTGCGGTTTGCGGGCGCGGATGGACAGAGGCTTCTGGACAGAATCAGACTTTGAACTCTTCGGGGGAGAAAAACGTGTGTGGCAGGAAATCGAATGGATTGCCCGTGTCAGCCTGGAGGAAGACCTGTGGGCAGCGGGGCCCTCCAGAACGGCGCTGCCCTCGACGCGGGCCCGGCACCGTGCAAGCGTTTTTCCCGGGCCGCCGCCTGGTGCATGACAGCGAGTGGCTCCTCGTCAGTCGGCAAGGCAAGCGAAGCGGGATGGGGATTTCGGTGATCGGGCGCCACCAACAGCAGGGCTTTCCTGTCTTCCTGCTCCTCTCCCATTTTCTCCAGTGGAGAAATAACCACTTTGCATGTCCATCCCCGGCATTGTTCACAAGTGTACACTGAATTTTTGAACGCCTACTTATCTCCTGCTAGAAGACTCACTCACCTAGGTGCAGACAAATGCAGGGTAGAAATCTGGACTTATTTTTAGTCAGGATAAAGACCTCTAGTAAACCGATTATTACCCAGCCGGAAATTACCGGGTTCAAATTGTCGACAGAAAGCAAAGGCCTTGTTATTTTCTTTGTAAATATAAGATCTGAAATACAGATAAAAGTGGAGCTAGACTGGGTGTGGTGGGGCGAACCTGTAATCCCAGATACTCTGAGGGCATAAGCTCCCTGTGTCCCAGGCCTGTGGGGCAAAAACACAAGACCCACCCAAAAAGTAACACACTAAAGTAAAAATTGTAGGGAAGTGGGGCTCAGTGGTACAGCTCCTGCCTAGCCAATGTTAAGTTCAAAACCCCAGTAACGCAAAAAAAAAAAGTGGAAAAGCAGAAATGGTGCCTCCACTTTCAGAAATAAAGAGCAATTAAAAGCCAAGTCCACTGAGGAACGCTGCTGAAAACCCCAAAAATCATTCTTTGTAACTTCCTTATATTGTTTTGTAATGTAGTGATCTTATTTTAGTTTTATTTATCCCCACCGTGATTAGCAGCCAGATTCTTGAAATGGAAAAGGCCTAATTATTTATCATCAGGTATGGCAATTATGTTGAGAGACAGGTGCTGGGGATGCTACTTGGTGTCACATTCTACTCCAGCAGCTTTGAGAAAGGACCAAGACAAGGCAAGTCTCTTGAGTCTTTCAACAGAAGTGGACCTGAAGTCCCATATGGATGGAATAAAGAGGTTTAGGCTGGAGGGGCAGAAATTCCCAATTTACACACACACACACACAGACACACACACACACAAAGACCACAAAAGAAGTAGTATGATGCAGTATTAAGAGTTAAGCACTGAAAAATCAAAGACTGGTTTAAAAAAAAAATCCCAGCTCTCAAAGCCCTGGCTGTGAGGACTTTAAAAGTGTATTTCAAGCCAGGCATGTTGCACGCTTATAATCCCAGCACTCCTGAGGGTGAAGCAGGAGGATGGAGAGTTCAAGGCTAGCCTGGGCTACATACTGAGACCCCGTCTCAAAAGAGAACAAGAAAAGGAATTAAAAAGCACATCTGGGCAAGATGGCTTAGGCAGAGATCAGGATTTTGACTCAAGGCCAGCCCAGGAAAAAATTAGCAAAACCCATCGTGGAACCAACAAGCTGAGTGTGGCAGTACAAGCCTGTCATCCTAGCTGCACAGTAGGCATCAGATGTAGGAGGATCAAGGTATAAAGCCTGGCAAAAAGCTCAAGACCCTATCTGAAAAATAAAGCAAACAGGGCTGGAGATGTGGCTTAAGTGGTGGAGCACCTGTCTACCAAGCACTAAGGCCAAGTTCAAACCCCAGTACAACCAGAAAAATTAAAAAGCGTATTTTAAAAATATATTCTCATTTTTTTACATACCCTGTGGAAGACAAAGAAATGAGAGAAAAGCACTTTTCTAAAGACCTCTTTTTCTTTTGATACAGTATCTCACTATGTAGCCCAAGTTAGCTTTGAACTCATTATTCTCCAACCTCCCAAGTGCTGGGATTACAGATATATGTCACCCTGCCCAGCTTTGAAAACACCTTCTTGATTTTACTCCATAATTCTTTATCTTAAACCCTTGCAGCCAGATGTTTGAGAATTCAAAATTTAAGATTTTAGAAAAATTCACAATTTCACAAAAGAAATACAGTAAATATATAAGTAACAACACCCCCCCTGCAGGTGTTCTAATGCACTAATAATTTACAGTGAAATATTAAGTGGGATAAGGATTGTTAACTTCAGGATAGATTGAGTTTGCATAATAAATTCAAGAAAACTTTTTTTTGAAGAATCAGGTGTGGTGGCACATGCCTATAATTTCAGCACTACAGAAATGGGGGCAGGAGGATCTCAAGGTTAAGGCCAGCTTCCACTACATAACGAGACCCTGTCTCTAAAAGTCAAAAAGTTTGTTTTCCTAATCTAAGAAAAAAAAGTTTACATTTTTTGATCTTTGGAGATTTTAGTATTACAGATAAGAGATAGGATGCTAAGCAACCAACCAGATAGGAAAATGTTACCATCCTAAACCACTCCTTGCCAGAAATTTCCACATCAACTCAGAAAATAAGAACAAAGGCAAAAAGAAATAACAGGGTATACACCCTGTGCACTTGTCCACACCACCCAAGTACTTCTGTAAAACAATACTTAATAACTTAGTCCACTATCCTTTTGACAACTATGGCCACTACATCAAAATACCCAGTATGGGCTGACGGAGTGGCTCAAGTAGCAGTGCAGCTACCTGCCTAGCAAGCATGAGAGCCTGATTTCAAACCCCAGTACCATACACATACACCAAGAAAAAAAATCTCAACATGAAGACTGAAGCACAAATGCCTCTCACATAAGTACCTTTAAATGATATTGATAATACTCTTAAAAACAAATTTCCTTTCAAAAGTTTAGCCATTAAAGATAAATGGTTCTTCAATATTTTATATTAATACTTTTATGAGCTATAATGAAAACAAAATATTAGATAATATCTTAGCTTGGTGAAAAGATCCACAAATAATTCATTTATTCGCTATTTGTTCTCATAGTAGTATATATTAAAACAAACATAAACTTCAGGTATATTAGGGTTCTTAAACTCTAGGCCAAATCAATGAGTTGTACAATTGGAGCTTTTAGTTTTCTAGTATGTCAGACACTGAGATACTAACTTCTAGGATTGTGAAAATTACAGAAAACGGTGCTTAATAAATTTGAAATGTTCAATATGTCCCATATACCTTCAGTTTTCCTTGGAATATGTTCAGTGTGAATACCTATAGTAAAACAGTGATGCAAAGTCAGGATTCATGGCCAAACATAACTATTTATTAATTCTTTTCTTACAAACATTCAGTTTCTTCCTAAAAAAAAAAAAAAGAATTTAAATACCTCCCATCCCATCACATACAAGTTTGTATACATTATTTACATCTTTCAAATAAAACATTACAGATTTTCTGACATTCAATACCTCCCCTTTAAAGTAAAATTGATGAAGCAATTAAACTTTGATCAATAACAATTTTCATAATCTTGGCATAGTTTACAATATGTCGTCCATGTTGCATTTCATATTTTAGACATTTTTTTCTCTCCAGCTTCTCAAATATAGAACTGAGAGTGAGATCCGTGTGGTAAATACCTGCACAATATGATGCTGCCTTTATTCTTCCATTACTTGGCACTGGCAGTATTTCCCTGCTTTTGTCTTCAGAAATGATTTCTATTCAAACTTTAAGTGTTTGTGTACTTACTGTATTCTCTTTCTACCTATACTTCATGATACTGTTCCTAGTGGTAATTTAAAGTAATAACTTAAATGTGTAGCAAAAATTCAAATAGAACAAAAGTAAATATTCTCTACAAGATTAGTAACCTCACCACCCTGGTTATGAATGTACAAAAATAACAAATACAATTTAGTGGCTGTAAAAAACTATTTTCCCTAAAAATAGTAATTTCTTCAGAACAATTTAAAGAGAAAAATTGTTCTTAAATGAAAATGCACTAATCTATTTTACAACCTGCACAAGTAAGTATCGCAGAAACAAAAAGAAAATTTGTGCAAAACTGTAAGAAACATTTACCTATAAGAACTTAGTAATATGTAAAAGAAATTAAATATTAATAAAGTTTAATTTTACATCACTAATAATCTTAGCTTCAGAGACATAATTTAAAGAATGCTGTCAACCTAAACAAAGTGAAACCTATGTACTAACAGTAAGTACTTCAGAATCACTAACAATGAAGAACTGCAAAACCAACCTTTGTTTTTGTTTCTCTGTGTGTGTGTGCGTGTGTGTGTGTGTGTGTGTGTGTGTGACACAGGAGATGAGGAGTGGAAAAACAAGGCCACTGATTTTTTACTATCTATGTTTGAGAGTTGTAGCCCAAAGCTTTCTATTGTATAGTACTATATGAAAAAAAAAAAAAAGAAACTTGCATTACACTTGTAAAACTGAATGCATAATATTTTAACCTGTATTTTTTTCTCTTTTGTTAAAATGTAAATGAGTTCAATGAGTAACAGAGCTCAATATTATACCTTCAAAATGAATTCTTTGATTAATTTATTAGGAAATCCTTAAAAAATTCAAATTTACTTGTTCAAGCTACACTGTATGCATGTATTATTATCACAACAAACTCCCCTATATTATTAATGTATGATAATTCAAAAATAAAATAATTTTTTAAAAATTCAAATCATCTGCAGTCAGGATTCTTTTACATGTTATGTTTAAACTTTTTCATTAAATCTTGAGATTACCTGTAAGCATTTATCATCTCATCAATTAAGCTAATATTACACAATAGTGATTCTTATAGTAAACCTTAATTATGACAAAACTGACATTTAAATTATTTCAGAAGTGGTCCTTAAAATATAGATTTGTGTTTACATGTAGATTTGTGTTTTCATGAATTGGTATATTTTTTAATATCCCAGATAAGTTTAAAAGTTAGATAAAAGTTTTCATGGTATGCAATCACAATTCCAAGGTACAGATTTTTTTTTACTCCAGTATCTTTTAAAAAACACTCAAAATTTAAAGTTATAAATGATATATGAAATAACTATATAATTTTAAATATTTTGTGATATGTAGCCTTAAAACTTGGCATAATTAATACATAAAACTTATTCTGATTTCTTTGTATAACAATCCCCAGTCTAACTGAAGTCACACTGTTCACTTGAGAGAAAACTTATTTGAAAGAGAGAGAGATAAAGACTGTTTCCTAAAACTATTTCTATTTCAAATACTGGTGGTTCGATGCCATGTTTTGCCCCCCCAAAAAAACTTAAAAATAAAAAATTAATTTTGATCTACTTTTCCATATTATCCATTCAATCATTCAAAAATCTTAAGGAACAAAAAATAAAAAACAAGTTCCAGAGAAAGGCCTTGATTTTTAAAAAATCAGTGTATTTAACTATCAAGTAATTAAACTGAATTTAAAAAATAAACTTATACATCCAAATAATATTGTCTACTTCAAAATAGTGACATAAGGAAACCATTCCTTTATTCAGTGATGCAATGAATACTTCAAACATTTTCTTCAGCAGATTCAGACCCTACAACACATTCTTCTGAATTTCCCTACTGGCTTAGTTCTGAGAGCAAGTTATCAGACTTGGTTTGTTGATTAAAGTAGGTCATATTAGCTGCTAAAAAAGTTTTTGTGCAACTAAAATGATGAAATTAAGTTTCTTGCATAGTCATAAGCTGATTCTCATGGCATGTCTAAAAAGAGTTCCAAAAACATACTTCTGCAGCATAGCTGAAATAAGTAGTGCTCCCAAGGGAACTACTCTGAAGATCAAGTCTCATTTGGATGTTAAGGTGTGTCATACACATTTAAAAAAAAAGTTCTAAAACTTAATATTTGTATTTCACATATTCTACCATTTCAGTGGTTATCAAAACCTCTCTCAGAGAGGGTGTAGACAAAGCTATAAAAGAAATTTGTCATTTTGCTATTTTCCCATAAGCAAGGAAAATGCTATAAATAAAATGAAGCCTGGTGATTATATATGTAAAATATAAATATACACACCATCTCTATTTCCTGATAAGAGATTGTAGTGCTTCATCTATCCTGACAAGCCAGGCAGTAAACTCAGTCTGAAATATATTATATACTAAACATATATATATTTTGCTACCTACTACATTGTATATTGACCATTTAGAATTTACAAATGACTAACAAAGGTAGGAAGAGACAGCAATCTCAAATCTTTCATTTTAAAGTAAACTGACCTCCAAAGCCACCAGCTAACTAATACATTCTTTCTGTTTTAGTGTAGTCTAACGTCATGGTTTTTGTAAGGAATGGAATAATCAAGTCAGCAAATGAAAGCCAGTAGCATCATCTACTGCTAACTAAAGATTTTTTTAACTCTGTTAATTTCACTAGCACTACTCCATCATTTAAAATAATCCCTAAAACTTGCTTCATCATATCAACATTTAACAAAAGCACTGTGAGCAAATTTATGACTATATTATATGGGATCTTTTTCTCAAAGAATGAGAAAAACAAATTCTGATTTACAACTCTATATAAAGACAGGGGAAAATAATTATCTTGGTTATTTATAAACTAAATAAGGAGATCTGAAAAGAATCCAATAGATATTTACAAGCAAGCTCTGCTGCAAAATCCAGCTTTGATCCTTATTTTATAAAGGGCATCTTACTAATTCTCATAGGAACCAACCAAATCAAAGCTACTATTTATTAAAGCAATTCTATGCTCTGCTGAATGTTTTCTTACTTAAAGCCATCTAACACCATGGATACTGCCAGGTCTCTCCCTCCCTAGGAGAACTTCTATACTTTGTTACCATTTGCAGATCTCCTTACTTCCCAATAGCTCTTTATTAAATGAATACTTGGAACAGGCACCTGAGATTCTGGCACAGTGAAAACAAACTTCTATCTACATATAGTGGGAAAGTAAATCCTACTGCCAACCATTAATTTATAGAAGTATTTTCCATTTTTACAATGTACTGCTATGTAACGCTTAAAAGAACAATTTCTCACTTTTAACTCTACACTTGGCTATTGCAACCCTTTTGTAACTAGGTTGCTGTGAAGTCAAATGCAGTATGGAAAACTATTTGAGTAATCATGTGCTTCATTTCCTATACAGATAGGACTCAAAAATCATGACACCAAATTTTATGTCTGAATCAGTCCATAGTGGTTGATATTATCTATTTGGATACTAAAGATTTGATGTAAGGAAATCAGCTAGCTCTCATTGAAGTTTATAAATAAGCATTACCAATAAATGCTAAATACATTTGTCTCTACAGGCTCTCCTGTTAATTCTATTAGTACTTAGTGAATAATTGCTAGAATAAAATGGAGGAAAAGGCAGCTCCGGGTGACTATAACTACAGGGACATTAAATTGTACCAATGCTCTACTTATTAATAACATAAACAAATTTACTTCATTTTAGATTCTTTTCTACTAAGTATTTATAATTTACATAATTTCAGAGTAAGCATTTCTATTCTACTAGGAAAAAGGCATGTATTTCTAACTGAAGGAATGGTACATATTTCTAATTGAAGGAAGCATATTTACCAAAACTGACAAAAATTTTTAAAAACTGGAAGTCTGAAGGGTATTTCTCAAGAACAAAACTGAAGTGAAAAAAATTACAACTTATTCTAAAAGCTACGTTTTTGAACTTGTTGATGGTAATAATTCACTAGAAAGGGCAAATAAAACTTAAAAGTTAATAACTACTGAATTAGCATTTTTATTATTTGATATCACTACAAAGAAAATTATTTCTTTTACAGTGGAAAAAATCAGAAGACAGAATGCTTCAAAGTGGGCCTATAATAAGCAAAAAAGGTACTGTATCATTTTAAAATGATAGGCAAAATCCAGCTCCATTCACTGAATGGAAATGCTGAAAAGTGATCAATTTCCCATGTTTAATGTCTGTATCTAAAATTAGTAATTTAATTTTAACTTCTCATGGAAGTTGATTCCTAAAAAGAAGCCTCTAAGACTCTGTTTATAAGTAATTGTTTAAAATCTCCATACCATTCTATTCCAGGGTTTTAAGACAGGACTTTCTAGAAATTGACTCCCCATGTTTAATCCTATCCATAACTCCCCAACCTAACCACCCCCCTAACCAAACACACTCTCCTTTCCCCTCCTCTTTGAATTAGAAGGGGATTCTGAAGACTTATGGCTCATTTGGCAATTGCTAGGAAACCTCACAGTTCAGCATCACCTCTGAAGATGGCAATCCTATATATAACCTGAAGTTTTACACTTACAGTGCAGTTAACGTGTAGAAAGAAGCCAAAATGCAATAGGTATATTACATTTCAACATCCTCAAGTTTCAATATCACAGATATTAAGAGATGGAAAAAGACCTGCTTGTAGAACTTTAAGCATGTGTTGAACAGAATATATTGCCATCATTATAAAAAATAATTCAGAAGTAATTTTTTTCATTTTACATTTTATGTTCTACATGCACACCTTTACAAATTATGTTTCTTCCATAGTAAAAGCTGGAGATCATCAATTTAAGTAAACTATGGCTTTTATGATAGATTATTTTACAACATGTACCAGTAAGTGCCGTGGGTAGTAATCCATTGTTTTGAGCTTTGTTTAGTTCTATGTCTGTGCTTTGCACCTTAGAAGTGAGCCTGCCAAGGCACTTAAAAACATAAGTCTTTTGGGGACTTCAAAATGGGCCACAATTTATACAACACAGAAACACATACTCAAATCCATCAGCAGTTCATCAGTGAGGATTTCTTTCAGCACACAATATTATAACCAAAATCAAAACCAGGTTAAAAAAAAATACTGTATGTCACTAAGACAAAATTTACCCCTTTCAAATGTAGAGAATGGTTCTTGGCTTCCTCTATCAAGAGAATATGTTTCCATATATTCAGAATAAAGAAAAGGGAACCCAAGCAAGCCCTCATACCTAAGACAAGAACACTCCAAGTTACAATGAAATATAACAAAAACCCAAAAACACTCCACACAGCTTCATGTGAGGAAAAATTGGCACCGCTGTCCATTCTTTTATCTGTCCTTTGAGGTGAGCTTTTCAATCAGTTCTTGAAGTGGTGCAAGTTCTCTTCTGTCAATAAGGTTGAACTCCTATACATAAAGACAGAATAAACAGCAAAAAAAAAGAATCCAAGGCAGATTACCATTAACATTTGTTGGAAATTAGCTTTTAGTAAGTAAAAGTAGTAGATATGATGGGTTTTTTTCTATTCGATAACGGTGTCTTAGGCAAATTGTCAAACATCATAGTAAGAACTTTAGAGAAGCACTGGCATTAGCATAGCAGCCTCACACCTAAGATGTGGATCTAAGCCCAGAACACAAAAGAATACCTATCACCTAACAAATTATTAAATTTTATATTAAGCTAATGTTAAATAAAATATATTCTACCCTCCTACTTTGACAAATATACTTTCATAGTGACCAGAAAAGCAGATTCAAATTTAGAATTCTTAAGACTCTCCAGGATTTTACACCAGAAAGTAGTGACAGGAGGAGAGCAAACCCCAAGTACCTGGCCCTCAGTGAACTCCCTGCTTTTCCAAATCCCAGCTCCATCCTACACCTGAAGGGGCCTCATGCAAATGAGAGTGGACACCTTGGCTGGCACATATGGATAATGTCCACAGACTGCTTGTCATTTGGTTACTCCTCAAGGCTACAGGAACACCTGTCAGAGATGTGACTTGCCCTCCAAAGAATAAACTCAAGGAAAAGATCCACAGAGACCCTGGGAATGTATCTGTGACATGTGGGAAGGGAATTCTAAAGTCTCAGGTACCAAGCATACACCAGAAGGGATCTAGGTAGGTTATGTTCTTGACCCTGTGGATTCTTCACCCTGTGGGGAAGGCTGGAGCTGGAGAAGAACCAGTGCAAGATACAAAGCAAGTGACCCTCTTAAGCAAAGGGTGATACTAGTAAGATCAGATGTGGTAAATGCTATATGTTGATCCCCTACTATTTGATAGCACATAGAAAACACAGTATACTTAAAGATTACAGAGTAAAGCAAAACTTCTGGAAATGTAGCTCAAGAGGTAAGGTGCTTGCCTACCATGCATGAAGCACTGGGTTCAATCCCTATTATCACAAACAAACAAACAAAAAAATAAAAACCAACCCTTTTGGAGGGAGAATATACTCTCCTAAACCACCAAAACCTGAACTTTAGCAATCATGTTCTGCCAAGCACAGATGCAAACTTTCTTTGTTCTTATGTGTCTGCAGATGGGATTCCATAGTAAAGTGATTATTCAAAGCAACAGTTTTGGCAAGTTACATTCTCCTAAAATGTGTTCAAATAAATGAAACTGAAGCATAAAATGTGTGCCTTCAATGTGAGGAGTATGTATAAAGGGAAAATGAGCACATTTTTCTTTAGTGGGGAGAGAAGTAAAGTAGGCACTTATAAACACATGCCCACAGATATACAAAAACAATATAAAGCAAAACCTTGGGCTTCTCCTGACCACCATCTCCCTTGCTCAATCTCTACCTAAGTAAATAAATAAACAAACAAACAAATCTGGTCTGGTCAGCTCATGTTATTTCCAACTCTTTCACTACTTTTGCTTATTTCTCAAATTAGAGAATTATGAAAGACTATTCTCACTGTTCTTAGTCTACTTTTGGTTTTGTTTGTTTTTTGAAAGTCTCACTAAGGAATCCAGGCTGGCCTTGAACCCTAAATCCTCTGCCTCTTCCTCCAGAGGTACTGAGATTACAGGCCTGTGCCATCAAGCCTGGATCCTTAGTCTACATTTCTAAGGCTATTTCTTTGAGGACTACACAAAGGTAAAGTCAACTAGTGGGTCTTATCAAAAATTAATGTATCTCTAGCCATATGCCAGTGGCTCACACCTGTAATCCAAGCTACTAAGGAGACAGAGGCAAGAGGATCATGGTTTGAAACCAGTCCAGGCAAATAGTGGCTCAAGTGGTAGAGCACCTGTCTAGCAAATGTAATGCCCTGAGTTCAAATCCCAGTACAAAGAAAAAAAAAAAACTAATGGGCCTCTAGAACAGAAATACTGTGACATTTTCCTCCCATACATAATGGATAGTCCTTCGAAATTATTTAGAACATGGTTCTAAGAAGACGGGGGAAGGATATGATATTCAAAGTATATTTCTAGGACAAAGCCATTAATAAAGATTCAGCATAGACAAAAGTATAGGGATAAAAGGGGAGAGGAAGGAGTGCTAACATGCTCAAGAGGCCAAGATCATCTATAGATCTGCACAGATCTGTTCATTTCCTTATTTAGTGCCTCCATGTGGCTGGCAACTGAAGCAAATCCAAAACAAGGCTCTTAGATACATTTTACACGTACTTGCCATCAACTTGGAAACTAATGAAATTTGGAAAGAAAAAGCCAGTCATTATCATCATGGAAGGTATAGAATAGAATGCAGACTGGAGAGATATGGCAAATTCTATCCTGATGGTGTGTGTGTATACAGTATTCATCATAGAATTCTGAAGATAAATGCTTACACTAAGCAGCAAAGGCCTCCAAATTCAACTTACCTGGACAAAAAAAATAAAGTGCTTAAAAGATGTATTGAGATGTGCTTCCTCCTGAAGCTGGATCACAGGATCAAAATGTTGATGATAAATGTGAGCATAGACCCTAAACAGACGTTTGAGTATAGTTTTTGCCACAGACATGAAATTCTTCGGGAATGGAACACCTAACAAAGAAATATACCTTAAATACATTCAATACAATTTTTGTCTTAAAAAGCTATAAAATAAAACAAAAACACCTACAAAATTATGTTATTTGTTAAACTTGCTAAATGACCCAGATTGGCAAGACAGCCAAATACTGATACTATTGGATTCAATGTCATTTTAGCAATAATATTGAGTCACAAGTTGTTATAAGACAAACCAAAATCAAAGAACATTCTAAAATATCAATGCCATGAAAGACAAAAAAAGGACTAAAACACACATATTCCAGATTAAAGCAGACTAATAAAACACAACTGAATGAAAGTATCAAAGATTTTTTGTTGTTGTTTAAAGGACATTACCAGGAAAACCTCCTAAACAAGATATGTACATTATAAATACTCTGTCTTTATTTTGATAGTTACATTATTATTTTCTAGGGAAATAAACACTGACATACTTATGGGTAAAATGGCATTATATATACAATTTATTCTCAAATGGTTCAGGAAAATGAATGAATGTGCAGTGGGTAACATAAAGGGTAAAATAAAAGTCATAAATTGCTAACAAAGAATCTAGATGTAGGAATTCTTTGTAGGAGTCTGCTTCTTTGTAGAACTCTTTCAAATTTTCTAAACACCTAAAAATGGTCAAAATAAGAAACCAGGCACGGTGGTTCATGACTATAATCCCTGCATCTGGGAGCTGAAGTAGGAGAATCTCCAGTTTGAGGCCAGCCTGGGCTACACAATAAGTTCAAGACCAACCTGAGTTGTATAGCTAAACCCTGTCTCAAAAATCTAAGGGCTGGAGATGTAGCTCTGTGGTAGAGCACTTGCCTAGCATATGGAAGGCCCTGGGTTCAATCCCCAGCAAGGGGCAGGAAGAGGGGGGTGAAAAAGCTGAGTGTGGTGAGCCTCCGTAGGAGGCTCACAGTCCAAGGCTAACCCCTGGGCAAACACCCTATCAGAAAAAATAACAAAAGCAAAAAGGGCAGGAGGACATGGCTCAAGCTGTACACTACCCGCCTAGCAAATCTAAGGTCCTAAGTTCAAACCTCAGTACTACCAAATTCAAAAATATAGATTATGAGCCAGGTGCCTGTGGCTCACGACTGTAATCCTAGCTACTCAGAAGGCAGAGATCAAGAGGATCGCGGTTCAAAGCCAGTCTGGGCAAATAGTTCATGAGACCCTATTTCAAAAATACCTAACACAAAAAGGGCTGCTGGAGTGGCTCAGGTATAGGCCCTGAGTTCAAGCCCCAGTACTGCAAAACAAAAAAATATATTCAGATTATGTAAGAGATAAAGCAAAATCATTATGATACATCATTTAGAAATGCAGTCTTGAAAGTGTGCTCGTTTATTATAAAAGCTCCAAAGTGTTTTAACACATTTAAAAAACACTTTCAAAACACTCCATAACAACTATTAACAATGTCTTCTCTACTGTATCCTTCTTCCAAAAACCATATAAAATGTAGTCAAAAATCTGTTTTAAAAATATTAGAAGAGAAAATTCTTAACTTTTTTTGGAAAACATAGTTTAAGATTGAAGAGGTAAAACTGTATGAACTGTCTACATAAGAACAATTTCTAGTTCACAGGTCTGCCTTTAAAAGCAAATACAAAAAGCCAAAGTCACTTCATCAATAACAGGCCAAACTCTGGAATTTTATTTTCTTCTTGCATAGGTTGATTTGAAAATCTGTAAGAGGGCCAGTGCAGTGGCTCAAGTGATAAAGCCTGCCTAGCAAGCATGAGAACCTGAGTTCAAACTTCAGTACTGTTAAAAAAAAAAAAAAAAGTTCCATGAACCTTGGACTGGAGGTGTGGCTCAAGTAGTAAAGTGCCTGCTTTGCAAGCATGGAGCCCTGAATTCAAATCCCAGTCACACCAAAAAAAAAAAAAATCTGTAAGATTCATGTCATGAATCATAAAATCAAACTCTTTCCTTGCCACAAATATATGACATACAAACTCTAAGTGAGAAATAAATGACTATGATAGGTATTATTAGCTGTATAACATCCATTTTCTTTTCTATAACATAAACCAATCTTTATTACTATCCTGTATCACTCATCATTTAAAATCATAGACAGGGTTCCTTCAATGTTCATGATAAACTTGGTATGAAAAAGATAGAGGACTTTTTTAATAGCATTATTTTATTTTTGAATTAGCATACATCAGTAATATGAGAGGGTTTCGTTGTGATAATTCCATAGATTTGTACAGTGTACTTTGAACAATTTCACCGCTCCATTATATTCCCATTCCCCTCTTTCAGTGTTTGGAGGGTTTTATTATCCTGTTGTCATATACACATGCATAATATATTTTAATCATCTTCACCCCTCAGTATCCTTTTCTTTTCTCCCTCCCTTCACCTGCTGACCTACCATCCCAGACCATCTCCCTTTCACATTCATATTTCATTATTATCATCATCATCATTTCAGGTCTAGGTTCCACAAATGAGTGAAAGCATGTAACATTTGATTTTCTGAGCTAGGCTTATCTCACTCAACATGATGATCTTCTGTTCCATCCATTTTCCTGCAAATGACAATTTCATTACTCATTGGATGAGTAATATTCCATCATACACACACACACACACACATATATACACATATATATGTGTGAGTGTGTATATAAATATATATATATATATATATATTTTCTTTATCCATTCATTGGCTGTTGGATATCTTGGCTGATTGTACAGTTCAGCTTTTGTGAAAAGGGCTTCAATAAATATGGATATGCAGGTATCTCTCATATATTGATTTACATTCCTTCAGCTATATGCCCAAGAGTGGTATGGCTAGGTCACAGGTAGGTCTATTTTTAGTTTTTTGAGAAACTTCCATACTAATTTCATTTGTTGATTATTTTCTTGATGACTGCCAATCTGATAAGGGTGAGACAGAATTTTAGGGTGCTTTTGACTTGCATTTCCTTTATGTCTAAAGGATGTTAAAAATTTCCTCATGTACATAATCAGTCCTTTATATTTCTTCTTTTGAGAACTGTCTATTCAATTCATTTTCCCATTTGTTTTTGCTTGTTCTTTTGCTGCTTAGTTTTTTGAGCTCTTTATATATTCTGGATATGAATCCCTTATCTGCTGAATAGCTGGCAAAGATATTCTCCCATTCTGTGGGTTGTCAGCTGATTCTGGTACTTGTTTCTTTTGATGTGTTTCATTTGTCAATTCTTGCTCTTATTTCCTGGGCAACTGGAGTCCTATCCAGAAAATAACATTACCTATGCTTATTATCTTCCAGAGTTATTCCTATTTTTTTCCTGTAATAGTTTCAAGTTTTCAGGTTTTATATCAAGATCTTTGATCCATTTGGAGTTTATTTTTGTATAAGGTAAGAGTAGGAGTCTAGTTTCAGTCTTCTGCATGTAGATAACCAGTTTTTCCAGCATCACTTGTTGAAGAGGCTATCTTTTTTCCAGTGTATGTTTTTGGCTTCTTTGTAAAAGATCACATAGCCATAACTGAGTGGTTTTATTTCTGGGTCTTCTATTCTGTTCCATTGATCTTCACGTGTGTTTTTGTGCCAGTACCATGCTGTTTTTGTTACTATGGCTGTGTAGCATAATTTGAAGTAGAAAGGACATTTTTTTAAGTGCATGAGATTAAAAATATTTTGACAGGTGTGGTAACCTTGTGCTGTTACTGGAATAGGAATAAGCCTCTATCTGGAACTTGTTTTATGATACTGGATTTTGTGCTCAGTCAGGGTTTTGCACTACTAATTGAGCCACATCACCACCCCTCTATCTGGAACTTTCTACTCAAAGTTAACTGGATCCTGGATTTTCAAAATTGTTAAAAAAAAAAAAAGCCCTCTTTGATTGTAAAGAAGAAGCTCAGCAATTTAAGAGAAGCAAATTATTTTGTTTTCTAATGACTCTAGCCTTTCTACTAATTTGTATTTAAAATACTACACTAAAGGGTGAAAACAATCGACTTACACAGGATAGCTTGCTTATTCTACAATTAGGTTAACAAACTTTTGTGCCTCTTTTTGGGAACTGCATAACATACCTTAACATATGCTCTATAGAACTTTCCAACTGGATAAGGTGGGAAGATTAAGGACAATTCTAGAAACATAAAATTAGATAAACCATGATGGGTTCCAATTATATTAAATAACTTTACCAATTTTTGATGGAAATAGTGTCTCATCATCCAACTGGTCCTGAACCCAGGTCATCAAATAATCAATATACTTTGGTGCAGAGCACTTAATAGGCTTCTTTATGTTTGTTCCATCTGCCCAATGATACTCATATCTGCAGTGGAAAAATAAAAAGCATACAGAGCATCAGTATGCTTATAAATGTACAAATATACATGTTTTAAACAATCTGTTCCTCCAAATAAAGGTGAATTTAAAAATATCCATTTTACTATCTTACATTCATCACAGCTCAAAGTAAGCAGATCACCTCAAACTCATTTTTTGTGTTTTGATGTTCTCCTCTTGTGTCTGAATTTTCTTAAGCATCTTTCCCTCTATAGAGCAGAATCACATATTGCCAAAGTAGAAAAACTAGCTGTCTTTGAACTTTATGGCTGCTTTTCTTCCTTAAATAACATTTCTCCTATGTAGTGTAATGCTTTTTAACTTAGGGACTTTAAGTTTGGGGTAAAGGAGAATGAATGACACAGAAACTTTAAGATTATTGAAAAAGAAAATGATCCAATATTTGAATACATGTGCCTGAGGAGCTAAATAATATGACTTTAAAGAAAATTAGCAAGTCAAAAATATGCATATGCAGAACTAACCATGTAATAGCAAAATTAAAAGTTATCTATTTTCACATGAAATTTAAAACATGTGAAGTAAACACTAGTAATAACCAGAATTAAGTACTAAAATGGATTCCATTTTAAATTGCCCTTTTCCTTTAAGAAATCTTCCCAAACTAGTAACAGAAATTCATTCTGTCTTTGATGAAACTAGGAAACACCTGTGTCTCTGAACCACGGTTTTTAAAAACAAAGAGCTACCTACTTCATGTAAACTCAAACAGGTTGAGGAAGACCAAAGGAAGCACCTGTGACCTCAAAGTCAACAGAGGACTGTTCTCCAAAGTAAACAGTCCCCAGAGAGGTAAAAACCACCAAACCTAACTTTAACAGACAAGGTCTATAAGGAAGCAGGGGTTTGAGAGGCACTGGACCTTGAAAAACTCTGCAAGCTACTCATCTCCATGGGCTAGAAAGAAGTGAAAGTTCAGACACAACTTTGTGCCTTTGCTACTGTAGTCCTCCATTCTCTTTACTGAGAATTGCCAGCTTATGTTTTATTTCCTTACCTGGTATCACTATGCCTTTCCTGAACTCATGCCGTTGTGGAAGTTCTCTAATTGGTTGACTAAATTCTTTATATTCATGACAGTGTATGAGGCAATATTTTTGTGCAATTACTATGGCTTGAAATAAAATATATGAAGAATGAGAGGTTTTACATTTAGGTATCACTAAATAAATGGTAGCTGTCGTTGTTATTATTAGTAATAGTAATAATATAAGCTAGTTTCAAAAATGTACTGATCCAACCAACATTTATTGAATGCTAACTAGATAGTAGGTACTGCCTTTGCACCAAAAGGGATTTAAAAGAATAAATCTAATGGTTAAATAAGACATGTATGAATAAGAGTGGTAGCACAATGGGGGAGTGTTTGGCTAGCATGGGTGAGAAATGCAATCACTATAAAAGTGAAAAAGTTATAGAGATCACACCTAGAATGAAGAAATCAGAAGGTTATGGAGAAAGAAGCATTTGACTTAGGCCTTGACGATGATATTCTGAAACAAAGATAAAATTATAAGAGGAAAATGGAAGAGAAGAAAAATGTCTGAAAGAAAAACATAATGAGCAAGTTTTCAGAAAGCAGAAGTAACAGAGGGAACAGCAAGATGTTTCCTGCATCTACTTTGGGTAGAGAAGGAAAGATACATACCCAAATAGGAAAGACAGTATAGGGGGGATGATAAAAAGTTCAAGCTAAGGAATCTGAACTTGATATACTAGTCATTGGCAAACCACTGAAGGAATTCCTAAGTACAGAGAGTATATAGTCAGAAACCATCTTCTTATCTGAGAACCATAAAATAAAAATGAGAACTGATCATTAACCATGTCTTACTTTGGTCCAGCTGACATCACTGGACAACTTTCTTCTGTACAGAAATCTGTAATGGTTCCATAAAGCATGTTGATCTGATTGAAGAAATCTACAGCTGAAAAACAAACATCAATTATGTGTAAACATAAACAGAATGATTAAAATTAATTTTTACTTTTATTTAAGCAAATTTTTTAACTTTTCATTGTTCATTTTCCCTACAAAGAATAGGTAAAAAGCATACACAGAAACCTCAGCTTTTTACTACATTGATATTAGAAGTTTGTGTTCATCAAGAAACTCCATTAAGTGAGCAAAAAAGCAAGCAAAGAACAGAAAAATTATTTATAACACACACAACAAAAATCTTGAATCCACAATATACAAAGAACTTCTCAGATCACTAAGAAAAAGGACAACATATTGGAAAATGTAACAGTTTAAACTGTCATTTCACAAAACAACTTTCTAGATGGTCAAAAAATTCTGTGAACCCGGGTGCTGGTGGCTCACACTTGTAATCTTAGCTACTTGGGAGGCTGAGATCAGGAAGACCTCAGTTGATGGCCAGCCTAGGCAAAAAAGTTTGCAAGACCCCATCCCAATGGGAGGGAAAAAAAAGCTGCACATGGTGGCACACACTTATCATCCCAGCTATGGTGGGAAATGTAAAATAGTTGGATCACTGTCCAGGCTGGCCTGGGCAAAAAGCAAAACCATATCTCCAAAATAACCAGAGCAAAAAGGGGTATCATTCAAGTGGTAGAGCACTTGCCTAGCAAGCATGAAACCCCACTACCATGGGAAGGAAAAAAAAATCCTATCAAAAGATTCTGGCAATTACAGAACTGCAAATGTGATGTAAATGTCACTCAACAGTCCCCCAAAAAGGCTAAAATTTATTTGAAAATGCAAAGAGCCAAGACTATTCCAACGTGTTCTGTGTGTATGTGTGTGTGTGAAAGAGAGACAGGTTTGAGCTTGGGGTTTCACTCTTGCAAAGCAGACATTCTACCACTTGAGCCACACACCTCCAGTCCACTTTGTTCTGGTTATTTTGGAGATGGGGTCTCTTGAACTATTTGCCTAGGCTGGCCCTGAACTGAGATACTCCTGATCTCAGTCTCCCAAGTAGCTAGGCGAGACACTGGCGCCTGGCTCCAACACATTCTATTTCTTTTAATTAGCATATTATTGTTGTACTGGGGATGTATGGTGACATTTACAAAAGTGCTTACAATATACCTTAATTAGATTCACCCCTTCCATAATTCTCCTTTATCCTCCTTCTCCCTTCTTGGAACATTTTCAACAGGTATCATTGTTCTATTTCATACGAGTACATAGTATTTCTACCATATTCCCCTCCTTCACCTTTTCCTTATGTCCTTTCCCCTCCCATTGGTACCAACCCCCTGCCAGGAACTGTTTTACATTCCTGTCCTTCATTTTTGAAAAGGACATTTTTGTTTAAGATAACTACATAATGATATATATATCATTATGACAGTTCCACCTATGTATGTATTATATCCCAAATTGGTTCATCCCCTCCATTTTTCTCTTTTCTACCTTAGTCCTCTTCTTATGGTGATTTCAACAGGTTTAAATATTCTATATTCATTCTTGGATAGAAAGTAGATCAACCATATTCACTTTCTTTACTTCCTTCTTTTACCCTCCCCATCCTAGTAGTGCCCTCTCCTTAGTGTGATCTGATTTTCATTCTTGTCCTTCATTGTATAGGGTCTGTTCATTATTAAGTGGGATTTTTTTTTGCCTTGGTATTATACCTGTATGTGCATTGTGCTTAAGTCAACCTAACCTCCCTCCACTGGCTTCCTTGACTTTTTCCTCCTATCCTATTCAACATATTCTTACTGGCAAACAAAGTGCACACTGAGATTTATAAACTACAAAGAATAAAACAGTATGGTCTTGTAGACCAAGGGAACAGAAGAGAGATCAAACACAGATGCAAGCATACATGAAACACCTGAAAGCCATGATTACAAAACAGCAAACATAAATACAGTCTTTTCATAAAGATATCTGAGTCAACTGGTTACCACAATGGAAAATTTTTCAAATTAAAACTTGATTTTAGAAACAGAACCAAGTGGAATGATGGGAAGAGGAAAAAAGGATGGAAACTATTCTCCCCCCAAAAATAAATTAGTACAAGATTCAGAGGGAAATGAAGAAAACGGATACACAGATCCAGACTCCAACAAAACAAAGATAGTCTATACCAAGGAACCCAATGAAGCCCACAAGAACATCCTGAAAAAAGAAATCCTGCAAGTAAATCAATCAGAATTTCATAGAGATGATATTAGACATGGTCAACCAAAATGTACAGGAGGCACTCAAGAAATTCCAAGACAACAAAAATAAGGAATATGAAAAAAACACAAAAACAAATGAACACACAGGAGTCCTAAATAAACACCAAAATGAAAAGAGAACATCATAAGTAGAGAGATAAGTGAATTAAGGACAAAAATTGACAATATTAAAGAGGAAGTGATCCATGATATGAAAAACCTCAGAAAAAAGAATGAAACAGAAGTACAAAACAAAATGGAAAGCCACTCCAGCAGATTAGAACAAGCAGAAGACAGACTCTTAGAACTAGAAGAAATGGTAAACGAAAAACTGAAGAACTATTAGTCAGACAACTCAAGACATGTGAAAAGAATATACAAGAACTCACCAACTCCATCAAAAGACCAAACCTGAGAATCATGGGCATTGAAGAAGGAGAAGAGGTGTAAGCAAAAGGGATTCATAATATATTCAACAAAATAATAATAGAAAATTTCCCAAATCTAGAGAAAACTATGCCCATTCAGGTACAGGAAGACACCAAACAGACTTGACCAAAGTAATACTACTCCACAACATATTATCATTAAAACAACAAGCACAGAAAATAGAGAAAGAATATTGAAGGCTGTAAGAGAGAAAAAAAATAAATAAAATACAAAGGTAAACCCATCAAAATCACAGCAGATTTCTCAATGGAAACCTTAAAATCAAGAAGAGCATGGAGTGAGGTCTTCTGGGCACTGAATGAAAATAACTTCAACCCTAGGATACTGTACCCAGCAAAACTATCATTCAAAATAGATGGAGCAATAAAAGTCTTCACATTAAGCAGAAACTAAAACAATATATGATCACCAAGCCACACTACAAAAGATTCTTCAAGTAATTCTGCACACACAAAGTGAGGGCAAACAAAACCATGAAAGGGTAGGCAGTACCAAATCACAGGAGAAGAAAAGGTAAGAAAGCAGAGAGTAACATTGATTCAGCTGCACACAATCAAACCCTTAAACAACAAAGACAACTAAATGACAGGAATCACCACGTATTTATCAATACTAACATTGAATGTTAACAGACTTAATTCCCCCATCAAAAGACAGCCATTTGGCAAACTGGATTAAAAAAGAAGATACAACAATCTGCTGCCTATAGGAGACCCACTTCATCTACAGAAACAAGCACTGGCTGAGGGTGAAAGGCTGGAAAAAGATCTACCAAGCCAATGGCCCTTGAAAACAGGCAGGGGTAGCAATAATTACCTCAGACAAAGAAGACTTCAAACTTACATGGATCAAACGAGATGAAGAAGGACACTCCATACTAATAAAAGGGGAAATACACCAAATGGAAATAACAATTATTAACCTATATGCACTCAACGTCAATCCACCCAATTTCATCAAACATACTCTGAAGAACCTAAAAACATATATAGACTCCAACACAGTGGTAGTGGGAGAATTTAATACCCTCCCCATCACCAATAGATAGGTCATCCAAACAAGAAAAAAAATAAAGAAATTCTAGAACTAAATCATACCATAGATCAAATAGACCTAGCTGATGTCTACAAAATATTTCATCCAACTTTGCACAATATACATTCTTCTCTGCAGCTCATGGAACCTTCTCCAAAACTGTTATCTTAGGGCACAAAGCAAGCCTCAGCAAATATAAGAAAATAGAAATAATCCCATGCATTCTATCTGATCACAATGCACTAAAACTAGAAATCAACAACAAAAACAACAGTAAAAAACATGCAAACAATTGGAAGCTGAACAACACATATGCTCAATGACCAATGGGTCACTGATGAAATAAAAGAGGAAATTTAAAAGTTCCTGGAAGTTAATGAACATGAAGACACGACCTACCAGAACCTATCAGACACAGCAAAGGCAGTCCTACGAGGAAAGTTTATAGCCATGAGCGTATATTAAAAACACAGAAAGATCTCAAATCAATGACCTAATGCTACATCTCAATCTCCTAGAAAAACAACAAGCAAGTCCCAAAACAAGCAGAAGGAGAGAAATAATAAAAATAAGGGCTGAAATCAATGAAATACAGACAAACAAACAAAAAAAAAAAAACCATACAATCAATGAAACAAAAAGCTGACTCTTTAAAAAAATAAATAAGATTGACAACCCCTGGCAACCTGACTAAAATGAGGAAAGAAAAAACCCAAATCAGTAAAATCACAAATGGAAAAGTGGAGATAACAACAAACAACACGGAAATCCAGGAAATCATCAAAGACTACTTTGAGAACATACATTTTAATAATTTGAAAATCTTGAAGAAATGGACAGATTTCTAGATACTTACAACCATCAAAAACTAAACCAAGAGGATATTAATCATCTAAATAGATCTATAACACAAAATGAAATGGAAGCAGTAATAAAGAGTCTCCCAAAAAAGAAAAGTCCAGGACCTGATGGATTCTCTACTGAATTCTATCAGACCTTTAAAGAAGAACTAATACCAACCCTCCTTAAACTGTTCCACGAAACTGAAAGAGAAAGAACACTGCCTAACTCATTTTATGAAGCCAATATTACTCTCATCCCAAAACCAGACAAAGACACCTCCAAAATGGAGAACTACAGGCCAATTTCCCTAATGAACATTGATGCAAAAATCCTCAATAAAATAATAGCAAACCGAATCCAACAACACATCAAAAAGATCATTCACCATGACCAAGTAGGCTTCATCCCAGGAATGCAGGGGTTGTTCAACATACGCAAATCAATAAATGTAACA